TTGGTACGGTTTGAAACAGTCTAAACCGTTCACTCCGACCCCACGTTGAGGCTGCGGATAGGATTTGTGAGGGGGGGGGATGGATGCGGAACACCAGTGAGGAAAGCCCAAGTGTCATCTGTGCCCACCCAAATGACCAGCCTAAACTGTGCTTTAAAGACACATTCTACAATTACTGCGCAGCTGAATTATCTTTTCTGTACGGGTAGCCCACTCCAGAATCTCAGAGGCTGTTGCGATCCCGCGGCTCCACAGTCAGCTGCGAGGCGTTGCGCTCGTCATCGGCCGGAAACGCCAGCAGGCACACCATCTATATGGGGAGGAGACATGAAAGCAGTCCTATATCTTTGGACATAAGTATGACGCGCTATTCATTCCATGTGGGACCAACCTAATCTCTCTTATATTCTCGCTTCTCTCGTCCTTTATTTTGGGTCTCTCGCCTCTTCGAAAGCTCGTACAATTGCTGTGCCTTATCTAGGGCGTACTCTGTGGCTTTCTCTACTCTCTTCTTCACCATTAATCTGACTGGCACCTAGGAGCTCATATCAGGTTCCCACTGTCCGCATATTATACATGTGGTGTGCCTTAAGGTCCACTGTTCCGAGGGAAAGAAAGGCTTGGTTGGCTGGACGAGCATGAGCCTTCGGATTCCCGTAGTGCCAAACATTAGGCCACGGTTTTTGCGTCTCATTTCGGCTTGATGATATCCAGTGATTTGGGCGAATTGGCCAGAAAATGAGGGAGCTCAGGACATCATTGATAACAGGACCACTCAGAAGGTTCAGAAGGTAGGTTGCGTTCAACTCGGCGATCGACTTCGCCCACTATGAACTCACGGAGAATTATCCATCCCATGATGATATCTATGAGACTGGGTGCTGCTTAAGGACTGAGGAGTCGAGAATGCTGAAAACAAAAGAATCATCAAAGAAGAAAAGTTCCTTACCTATGCGTGAGAGCATTCAGTGATCGTGCAGGTCCTCTGCCAGTTCTGTGTCCCCAGAGCTCCAATTTCACTTCCATGGTTGAGCATGATGCCACCGATCTGAGCATTGTAATGTTTGAACTTTTTGTAAAGAGAAACCGAGCGCTGTTCGGCTTGGAAGGGGCACCTGCTCTCGCTTTTTTCATCTGCTAATTCTTGATAACTAACAGATTTCATTATGGTAAGACCTGTAAACTTTACTGTGCCGCGAAATCGTTGTCGCATGTTTGATGGACTGGTGCGATTGCTGGCTACTTAGGATTGCTTTGAGGTTGTTTAGCCCAAATTTGCAGCTCATGAGTTCAATTAAAGGCTGAGCCCGCATTCAAATTTGATGAGTTATGCGGCTCAAATACTTATAACAAGGTAGCAAGTAACCCCTTAGTGAAGAAAAATCAGAAAGAAATCATAGGAAAGGCTCTATATAGAACCCCTTGCTTAACTGAGGTTGTACGTGCTCAAGGCGAAGAGAAGGTGCGGTCGCACGAGTTCTCACTTGTTGATATCAGCTGTTTTCCCTTATCACCTCACTCTCACCACTCGACACTGCATTGCGGTCACTCGACGTGGAGAGAAGCAGCAGCGAAACAACCGCACCATCAGGTAACCAGTAGGAATGAATGGAGGGCGGTGCCAATGATTGTATTATAGGTTGGGCCAATGAGAAGAACGACGGTATCGTGGGCCTCCCCACTCGTTTTTGCGCCACGAAAGTGGTGTAGTTGATGCCTCTGCGGACCTGACTACACGAGGGGAGAAGAAAATCTCAACTGAACACGGAACGCTGCCTTTGAGAAAGGGGTTCTATATAGAGCCTTTCTGATTTTTCTTCACTAAGGAGCTACTTTCTATCTTGTTATAAGTATTTGAGCCGCATAAATCATCAAATCTGAATGCGGGCTCAGCCTTTAAGTGTGTTTTAGGGTAGGCCTTTCCCAGCCATCACGAATTCGCCTATGCGATCGCGAATAGGTCATTGCGGATGAATATCAGCCAATATCAAGACAGGATAGCACACGGGGAATCTTTTGACGACGGCGAGGCGGAAAATACCCATTCGAATACGAAGGAGGGGAGGAGACGTCGACAACCTGTTCTGGTAGGGGGTCGTATTGACAGGACAATTTTCCGCGACGTGATGCTTGAAGGTGATTGCTTGTGTCTCACTCAGGGCACATCATTGGTTGGGGAATTTTAGTCGAGTCCTTACGATACCCCCTGTTTTTTTCATGGGGGGGGAGGGTTGGTACGACCCCCCCTTCGGCCCTCTGTCCGTCCTATCGAAATCGAGGCGCGTTCGCGGGGGAGGGGGCGGGACTAGTAGACTGTGAAGCAGGAGGAGCCGCGAGACAATATGACCCCCCCCTCCTCTCCTACCAAAATCTCAGATTTTCCCCCACTTCGTGCCATTTTTTTCCAAAATCTCACGAAAACTTTCTTTACTTTTTCTCAAGAATTTTGCTGTCAAGCGGAGGGACGGGGGGGGGGAGTATAAAGTACGCATGAATGAGGAAAATCACGAAAAGTCAACCCCACTTCTAGAAGCAAGACAGATAGCAATACGATTCGCCCCATTTCCCACGAGGCAAGTACGCCCCCTCCGCCTTTTTTTTTTCTTCCATCCGTGAAGCGAGAAATAGTATCAGGACAAATTTCGAACAGCCCATACGACCCCTCCCCCTCTCTCCTGGCGGCAGATACCACCTCCCCTGTTGGGGATCCCCCATAAGGTGTCTGGTTCCTAATCATAAGTGATAGACACGGCAAGTATTAGAACCGAAACTCATTGCGGGAAATTCATACGAAAGACACGGCAGGCATCACCAAACAGTCTCCCACCGATCATGGTGATGACACGGCAAGCATCATGACCAAGCGACGTTGCGGCGTGAAAGTGAGAATGGTCAATATAGGCGAAACTTTCTAGCTCTCAGTATGGTTTACCCCCATTGTTGGCCAGCACGACGCGCTACCAACTGTAGCTTTCACAACCGTTTATGGTGATTGAGAGCAGTTTTCTGGGGCCAGAACCATGTAAAATTTCATAATTGCTAATTTTTGAACGTGAAGCGTTTTCTGGATATCACGACAATGATTCACGAAATAGCAGTAAGCTGTACTCACTGACCTAGGAAATTTGTGACGTTACAAGTCATGGGCATGGTGGAATGAAATTATTTTGTTCCGCAATTTAGGTGACAAATATTGAAGAGCGAGCTGACTCCATCGCAGAAAACAGCTCCAACAATATTATTGGGGAATATTGCTGGGACTTGGAGCTGGAGAAGAGAAACGGAAAGAACAAGGCCTTTCGGGCTTTTTTTGACAGGTGCCGTTCAACAAGTTCTCAGTTGATTCTTCTTTGCTCCAGATAGCAGAACTATGAGTCAAGACTTTGGTGGTTCCCGCTCTATGAGTGGAAGGTTTGTTCGGCTTGAGGCTCGAAAAAATTTGAGTATCTTTCAGTGCGATCTCTCTCACACTAATGTTCACTGGATACACTCTCAGACTGCAACCGCATGCGCTCGTTTTGACGTAGAGTGCTCTTCCAGTGCATCCCTGCTCAATATCCGTGGTAGGTTAACTCAGGGTTTCTTCATGATTTCCCTATAAGTCACAAGATGTTTGAGTGAAACACGAGAGAGAGACGGCACTTGTATAATGAGGCAATCTTCATTGAACAAGGAGTGGGAGAAAGTAGGCTGATTCTGATTTGGAAACAAACGACCATATTGATTGGGCTTCAAGTCCCGTCAGCTTTCCATGATTGACCAAAAGAAACCGAATGCGGAATCACTTCCTTCCAGTAGAAAAAGCTATTTTCACGATACGGGGGCGATTTTTTGGATGTGGCTCGTTTCAAAGAGTTGTGGGCCGTAAATGCTGTGCATGCCTGATATTAGCTGCTTCGCGGTGACGTCACCAGTGATGAAACGTCATCAATCTAAAGAAGGAAGGTAATGGATATCTTCATTAGAAAGAAATCGATTTGTCAAATGGTTAAAGAAGACATAGAAAAGCTTGCTCAGCAAATAATTACCCAGAAAAAGCGTTGGAGATGAACCACGTCGAGCATCCGTTTCACGACTGAAACAGAGGCCAAATAAAACCATCCATCACAGCAGGTAGGATAGCTTGTCCCATTCCACTCATCCTTCGTTACAGCCCTGAATAACTAGGGGGATTTCGATGGCAGTTTATATTGTGGTTTTCAGCAAATCATGCCGCTTCTCACATCATCCCCTCTTTTCCTCTCATCGAATACCTCTAATTGTGGATTTTAATGATCTGAGGCTCACTCTCAACAATATTTTTGACAAAGTGTTGGGCTTCTCTCACATTCAGAAGTTTGCAGTGATTTGAAATACCAGTCGAGTGTTCAGCTTTCTATGTGCTGCGCAAGGCTTGAAGTCGAATATCTTCATTTTCCTAACAACTTCTTTCATATGGAACGGTAGGACTCACCATTTCGATTTTGGGTCTCGAAACGGTATATGACCAACACGCCTGAAAAAGTTGCATACAGTACGCTCCCTCTTTTTGCAGTAGAAATTTTAGAGCTTAGTAGAGCTTTTTTTCCTGATAGTGCTTGAAATCTGCTTGGAATCTTCATGATTATGGCAGTATCCAGTAGCACACGCTACATTTTTAGAGCAAGCAGAGGTAGAAGAAAGACGAAATACGCTTCTCTGAGTTACTGATTGTGCAGCCTGGTCAGATGAAGTTGGAAGAATTTCCCACGTTGACGCAAATGAAGCAACCCTCCGCGCATTGGTGGGAAGGGTCTGTGAATGCAATCGTTGTGCCGCTTCCAAAGTTCGAGGTTCGGAACCTAAGCCGCAGGTAATTATCCCCCTCCAAGAGCTCCGCTTATCGTAGCTAGCTACGCTTGTCGACCAGGAGCTGCCATATTCCAAGGGGATTGCAATTTGTCGTGATAGGATTATTTGAAATGGTTTCTTCTAGCAGAAATGTCATGCCTGCGAAAAAGCAGGTGACACAGTTGAGACATCCATCCATTGGTGCAGTCGTCTAACATAAGGCATAAGAGGGTTCGAGCGCGCCAATACGTAGGTTGCCTTTTATATTTCGGGATTAGAGAACAAAAATAAATATTAATCATTGAAAATCGCTTTATTGTTTTTCAAAATATTCCCCATTAAGATCTATACACTTTTGCATGCGTTTGAACCAATTGTCGAAGCACTTTTGCCACTCTGATTGAGGTATCTCCAAAACATGCATTCTGAACGCATCAACCGCTTCTTCAGGTGTCGAAAAACGTTGACCTCTCATTTTATTTTTTACGTACGGGAATAAAAAGAAGTCATTCGGTGCCAAGTCAGGACTATATGGCGGATGACTCATCAAATCGATGTTTTGAGTGCTCAAAAATGCAGTTGTTTGAGCCGATGTGTGAGAGCTCGCATTGTCGTGGTGAAGAGTGATCCGTCCAGCGCGAACAAACTTTTTTGACAGTCAAATGTTCATGCAATATTGAATATATGCTGGTCCCACTAATGCCTAAGGTTGTCTCAATCTCACGATAGGTCACATGACGATCTTGCAATATTAGTTTGCGCACAGCATCAATGGTTTCCGGAACAACAACTGATTTTGGACGACCTCCACGAAATTCGTCTTGGAGTGAACTACGACCTCGGTTGAATTCACCATACCATCGATAAACACTGGTCCTTGATGGAGCTTCATCGCCAAAAATTGAATTAAGTTGTAAAAGTTGTAAAAAATAATCGCACGAAAATGTTCACGATTTAATTCCATTTTTTGGCCGACCTAAATCGTTTAAGTTAGTGTAAACAACACAAATAGCGCTCATATGTCAAAACGTTCTGAGTACGTATAACCTCAAAAATGTCAAACTTTACGATAGAGCTGTCAGTTGCCAGATTGCAACACTAGGGTTGCCCAATCCCGAAATATAAAGGCAACCCTCGTAAAGAAGGCACAATGTCTCCTAATTCGGATCCCATCCATCAACGTGTGCTGTGTTCAGAACAACTGCAAAATGAATCAAGGTTCTTTTAGGAGGTTTTCCTTTTACCTCTGCTTGATGTGGATGGACTGGGCAAAATATTCCCATGTAGGCATTTGAAGTCTATTTCGGCGACAGCGCGCTTGAAAACAGCTGGGTTTGGCATGGCTTTCCTTGCCGAAGATTGTCTTACTCTTCATTCTTTTACTTGGGCATTAGCGCGGAGTTCAGTAGGCAAAAAATGAGAAGTAATTAAGTAATTTAATGCCGGAACCATTGGTGTGAACAGAGTAACTGTAGATCATTACAGACGTTGAGTAAAAAAATAAGAGGTTATCAGAAACCATTTACCGAGAACAGTAAAGTTTGTCAGAGGTGAGGTTATTCTTCGTGAAATCGGAAACCCGTTGAACATCCCATCCAACATCGTCGTCCATTTGAGAAGCACCACGTTTCCATCACAGGCCGAGGCCAGATACCGTAACTCGGCCAAGTGCTATAACACTAATTTGCTGAAGATTTTGAGAATGCTCGGTATTCATTTTTTCTTTATAACCGATAACAGGTTCTGCAAGTTCAACTATACGGAAAGTTTTTTTACCTTGAGTGAGTTTGGGTCGGAAATGGACTGCTAGCAGTTGGAAAAGTGACCTCTCGCTGGTAATCTCTTAACAATCAGTCAGCCATTAGTTTCAGTTCAGTTCCATGCTCTACGCTGAGTTTCTTCGCGTCTCTGGCTGATATTCGGTGAAAAGTGAAATATTGAGAGTAAATGTGAGCACTGGTTCGCTGTGAGCGCAACATTGAAACCAAACTTCGCGCGACTCTTACAAGCCGCAAATTTAAGTGCGACTCAGCTTGGGTGTTGACAGGCCTCTAGAACTCAGTATTTTGGTCACACAGGAATAACATCAATCCTCCTAATCGCTTCGACTGACCTAGCCTACCAGCTTTTCGCAGGTACCACCTCTCTTGTACAAGTAGTCTGGTTCCCACTATCCACGGTCATCCGATTTTCTCGGCTCTACAGTTTCTACCATCGTACTCCAAGAGCTTTTCCGCCTTTTTAATAGACGAAAGTGATGAGTACGGAAGAAGTACCTTCAGTGTTAGATTTCGATAAGTATCGTTGAAGTCGAATTGCAGAATGTCATCGTATAGAGCGCTCTCCTCCTCGATAATCTTCTGATGATGCAGTGAACCTGGCCTACCCACAGAAAATAGAAGAGTGTAGTTGTACTAAAATTTCACTCATTTGGAGTACCTATCTCATACTCGAAAACGAGCGAAGTAATCACTTTTCTTCTCAATTGTCCTGCGCCATACGTATTTCTCCATTC